TACCCTATTACATGGGACTCATAACATAAATAGTGAAAAGTGGGTGTTCATTTTTTTTATGGCATAATCCGTTAAACGAGCAGACGGATCACCTGATGGTAAGCAATCGGCGTCGCCCATGGACACCTGGAACACCAGAGGTATTACAAGTGCTTTACCGGCCTTTTGGGGATTAGCAGTTTGAGGATCGTTGGGGATTCAGGGATTGGGGAGATTGGGGAGGGGTGGGGGGTAATTGGGCCTCCGGTAACCTCACTCACACGACGAAACACAACGCAAGCGTTGCTTCACGTCGGTTTTCTGAGAGGCCGTGGTATCACTCCGGTCGAGCCGGCCCATTCGTGCCGAAGCATGGCTCTCCCACACTTAAAAATTTGAATTTATTAAATACTGACGTAATAAAAGTGTAATAAAATGGCCCCGTAACTTTGCAGTTACAATATTGTTGGTGACGGTACTCCAGCTGCTTTGTTCCCGATTCTCTCGGGAAAAACTGAACTTGAGCTCCCTGATGTAAGAAAGGCAAGCTCCAACGCTACGCTGGACTCATTCCCCTTCTTATTCTACAAGCTGAAAGAAGATGGGTAAGCCAAAACTCTTTACATAACGCCTTACCTTGCCCGTAAACCATCCTCTCGCGTCCGGCCCTAGTCCGGGCCATGATGCGAAGCGAGGAGGGCTGGGATACCGTCTCCTCCTTTTGCGAAGCAGTCATGCTAGCTAAGGAGGAGGCGGGACGTGGCCTCACGTCCCAGCCGTCGGGAAGGACACTCCGGAATCGCGGGACGATCTCCGGCGACTGTAAGCACGGGCCTGCGGACGGCGAGCATGAGTAGCTCGCCGCCCAAGCGTTCCAAGCGCGCCTCAAAGAGCTAACAGACCACTACGGATGGGGCCCAATAGGGCTGATGCCGATGCGGAGCCGCGGAAGACTTAACGGGTTTCCGGGGCTCCGGCTCGAAGTGCAGGAGTAGGAAGGGGGTGGTTTTTAGTCAGTAAGAGTCTGACACTCCCTCTTGCCTCACCCAGGGCGGGAGAAGTTATTGGATGATCACCCTTCAAGAAATGGATTGGGAATAAGAGCAAAATTGGGTGTCCGGTAACCTCACTCACACTCGTGTACTGTGAGACCGTGGTATCATTCTGGTCGAGTCGGCCCGACTCTCGCCCCTCACTCTAACGTGTAAAATGATTTTTTTTTATATAGCATAAGCCGTTCAACGAGCAGACGGATCACCTGATGGTAAGCAATCGGCGTCGCCCATGTTACACCAGAGGCGTTACAAGTGCGTTACCGGCCTTTTGGGAATTAGGAGTTTGAGGATCGTTGGGGATTCAGGAATGGGGGAGATTGGGAAGGGGAGGGTAATTGGGCCTCCGGTAACCTCACTCACACGACGAAACACAACACAAGCGTGGCGTCACGTCGGTTTTCTGCTCGGCCGTGGTATCACTCCGGTCGAGCCGGCCCATTCGTGCCGAAGCATGGCTCTCCCACACTTAAAATTTTATATGATTATTTCTTTATAATAAAAAATCAATTACTTTTATTGCAGATATCGCACAGCGTATTTCGAGGATATGCCGGGAATAGGCACGTTCCAATACCGGTTCAACGGCTTCAAACGTCAGCCGGCTGATCATTATTTACGCTCTTTCTATCTTGAAATGACGAAAAGGGGCAAATGGCTGAAACAACATCCATATTGTGTCGGCGACACACCGCAGTATAAAGTCATGATGAATATAACTGAACAGGTATGTAAGATATGATAGACACGGTATATATCGCAATAGGCTCACCCCCTATTACATGGGACTCATAACATAAATAGTGAAAAGTGGGTGTTACATTGTACAGTGGCATAATATGCACCCCCTATGCCTAATATTCCTACCGCTTGGGGATGAAAGGCGTGATATTATGTAAGGTATGTAAGATTCTCCTAATTAGAAAGAAAGAAGTTTCTTTCTTTCTTTACTTGTGATTAAGTGCGTTGCGAACGCCTTGGGTAACGGCAGAGTAGAATACACGCCATGGCTCTCCCTCACTTTAAACACACACTCCCACAGTTTACCTTCGTGTCAAAGCAAGCTTTGACATCCGAGCATAAAACCGACTTGAAGCAACGCTTGCGTTGTCTTTCGTCGTGTGAGTGAGGTTACCGGAGGCCCAATTATGCCCCTCCCCTTCCCCAATCCCCCTGTCCCTGTAAAGCACTTGTAATACCTCTGGTGTTTCAGATGTCCATGGGCGACGGCGATGGCTTCCCATCAGGTGATCCGTCCGCTCGTTTACCGGCTTATTCCATAAAAATAAGAAATTGACTACTTGTCAAGTACTCAATTTAGTATTGTTGTTGACAGTTCATGCAACTGGATGGCAAGAGGTTTGGTTTCACGTTCGTCGCTGACATCACACATGACGCGAGCTACATATCACTGGCGGACAATGATTTCTTGCTATTCCTGCGTCGACTGGAGGAGAAAGGTCATTTGGAAGACACCCTCGTCATCCTGATGACTGATCATGGACCAAGGTAAGGTTTGAAATCATTTTTATAGGATGTATGAACGAGCACATATATAACCTGATAGTAAGCAATCGGCGTCGCCCATGGACACCCGAAATACTTGAGGAGTTTCTGGTTACAAGTGCGTTAATGGTTTTTTAGGCGTCAGGGAATTGTGCAATTGCGGATGGGTCCCACCATATTTTTGTCCACGAGATGGCGCTAGTGACACACTCGTTCTTACCCGACCCATTATGCTTCATCATTATAAATAGCCAAAGAGCTGCTTCATCATCGCTTGGCGATCGGGTTAAAGATTGCAGTTTAAAAGGTTCTAGTTCATTATGACTGCTTCGTTGGCCAAGTGGTCGCCCCGGGAATCGCACCCGAGACACCTTGCCCGACAGTCGCAAGTACGTCTGGCAAGGGGTCCCGAGTTCGATTCTCGGGTTGGGCAAAGTATGACTGGATGTTTTAAAAAAAATTCTCAGTAGTCTAGTAGACATGGAGTCTGGTATTGTGCCCGGTATATGGCAATAGGCTCACCTCCTATTACATGAGACTCTTAACATAAATAGTGAAATATGGGTGTTACATTGTACAGTAACATTAAGTGCCGTAATGTGCACCTTTGCCTACCCCTTCGGGGATAAAGGCGTGATGTTATATTATGTTAATAATCATAATTCAATAAAATCTCTTAATCTACCTTACACATACCAAAGTCTCCTAAAAGCTGATATTTTAAATACTTGCCATATAATTAGGAAGATTTTGAATGAAACAGATAATGTTTTGTACATCTACACCCAAGAATTGAGACACCTAAGTGGGTCAGAACGTGGCTTCGGCCCGTACTAACCCTCAAACCCGGCTTTGTAGCCGAGCTAAGAAAATCTAAAGAAACATTATTCCTCTTCTTCTTATGGTGCCACTTCATTCCTGGAGGTTGGCCGTGAACTTTTTGAATTGGTCTTTGTCATTGGCAAATAATTGGGTAGTTTCCAAAGTATCAAAATTAAAAATCTAATTAGTCCGTCAGTTAGGCAATGAAAAAATGATGGACACGTATTTTTTTTATTTTCTCGTATTAAGTTGCAATACTCTCATCTCCCGTACTCTGTCTCTCTCTCAGAGGCAGAGGTGTACTTACATTACGGCACTTAATGCCATTGTACAATGTAACACCCACTTTTCACTATTTATGTCATGAGTCCCATGTAATAGAGGGTAAGCCTATTGCCATATACCGGGCACAACTCCAGACTCCGTGCTCCTACTGAGATTTTTTAAAAAACCCAGTAGTACTTTGCCCGACCCGGGAATTGAACCCGAGACCCCTTGCCCGGCAGTCACACTTGCGACCACTCGGCCAATGAGGCAGTCTTTTTCAGAATTAACGTGCTACAAAATGTGGCACGCTGTGACGTCACACGATATTTCAAATTAATATATCGTCGAAAATATTAAATTTGTGAAATAATTAAAAATACGTGTCTAAAGTTTTAAATTAATATACCAGACGGACATTAAAATAAAATTTAGGAAACAACCCTATCACATCAAAGAAACATAAAATAATAAAATATTATTGAAACAAGAAAAAGTTTAAATACCTACCTACCATGTAATTTACATAGTTATATCATGAAAACAGTTTTTAGCATCTGTTGCTGAAATAGGTCAATAAAATTTATACATCATCATCAACAGCCTATAAATGCCACTGCTGAGCAAAGCCTCTTCTCACACGGAGAAGGTTTGAACATTAATCACCACGCTTCCTCAATGCGGGTTGGCGATTTCAAACTTACAATTAGAAATTATAACCCCAGGTTTCCTCACGATGTGTTCCTTCACCGTTTGTCAGTGGTGTCTAGATAATCTTAGAAAGTACATATAACTCGGAAAAGGTCACATTGGTTGCCGTTGGTAGGTTTCGAACTCGCACCCTCATGCATGAGAAGCGGGCGTCTTAAACCTCCGGGCCACCACGACATTCAATTTTATTTATTAACTCGTCGAGTACCGGTTTTGTAGACACAATTATAGAACAATAGGTTGCGGTCACCGGTGACCGCTTGGTGTTTGACAGTTTAATAATAATAATTTAGTTTTAATGTGTTTCATGAAAGTTATAATATTACCTCTAGAGGGCCTTTGGTCTGCAGTGGCCAGCAGGCTGTTGATGTGACCTGGTATCTAAGAAACATTCTACCCTACCTATGTTATGTATTTTTAATAACTATAAATAATAAAAGAAATGCACTCTTAATATTGATTTTCATTTATTTATAAAAAAGGAAGATACAAATATAGACCTTCATTTCAAATAATTAAGTTTTTATATTGAGTAATAATACAGTATAGAACTTAGTATTAAAAACAAAGAAAAACAACATTTGAATAACTAGATTAGATTGATCATAAAAATACTAAAAATACACTGCCTTATTTAAAGAGAGCTCGAAACATCGGGTTCGATCCCTAACAGCCGAAATTAAGTTTTTGATATAAACTCCATACAACTAATGTAAACAATGTTAGGATTAAGAGAAGTCATTAATTTCGGCTGGAAATCAATCACAATAGCTTTATTGTTAGAATCCAAACAGAAATTCCGCATATTAACAGTCTAACAATATTTCACCCAACCCGAGACAATGCTCGATTGATAAACTCGAGTCATACATACAAAAACAGTTACAACACTATTCTTATTTCTACATAACATAACATTCATAATAATATAAAACAAAGAAGCACTGTTAAAGAAATTAAGGCTAGATCCGAAACAAACTTTGTTGGCTTAGATTAAAACAAGTCTTTGTTATGCATCTGCAATGAGTAGGGCTTCGTACCTTTTAATCAGTTTATTGATCAATGTTAAAACTGACGGGGCCCTTTTCAGCAATTGGCTTATAAAAACATCGCTGGGTAACGATGTACGGTCCAAAACAGTAAACATCTTATAAATAAATGTCCCATTGTACACTCTACTGTAACACGTTTCCACGTAAGGAGATCCGCATAGCCTATTCAAATAATTAATTTGCTGCAAACAGAATTGAAACATATCGAAACTTTTCATTTTGTCACCGTCATAAATCTGCCCAGCTTCAAAACGACGAGTCTCAAAATAATTTTTAGTAACGCGATTTGCTTCTCTCACGTCTTCTGCTAACAGACCAGTGTCCACTAGGTTATCAAGTCTATGGCCGTTCAACAATACGTAACACATTATAATCGCTCTAGCCTCCGTCGATGCATCCCCTTTCCTACGACCATAATACACCAGTGATATGATCAACAGTACACAGTCTTCTGGAAGATTCGATAACATTCCAATATTTATACCCTTATTTTCTAAGAAATACTGGAATAGGTTCCAACCGTTTATTTCTTCCCAGCCATTTTCGAACACAGATACTTCGCAATCATAATTCGGTCGCGGTACACACGGGTCAACTGTACTTATCTCTGTATAATTTTCGTTGTCATGGTACACTTTCAAGGTACTCTTTTTGTAATTAGTTAGAAGGTTGTAGGCGTATTTTATAATATCAATTGAAAGTAGTAAACTGTCTGTATTGTCGTTATTGTTGTCTTCCCTGTCGAACCACGAGCCTTGGACAACTTGCCATTTAAACAGGTTCACGTACGCACTCGGTACGTATTTGCAAACCACCCCCTTTTCAAACCAGTCCGGATCTTTGATGCCTATATCAAGTTGGGAGTTGATTAGGTAATCAGTCGCAAAACCACCTTCCGTGTTCGTCATGTTTCTTAATATACATCCATGTATTTCCCAGAATTTACTTCTGTCCTCTTCGCTTGTCAAATATTCTGTAATACTACGACTTATTTCTTGCTCTTCGTGATCCGATAACCACGAGATCAGTTGTTGATTTTTTACGTGACATTCTTCGTCTAGAACATTCCAAGACTCTAGTAAATTGTCAAAAAAGTTACCAGGAAATATATTACTGTCAGACAGAACACCGAATATAACCATTTTGTTTTTAGTCAGTTTATGTATCTTGAGGAATTTCTGCAGTGTGTACCTACGACATTCAATTGTATTTGTCATGCTGTTAAATTTCAATGTAGGTTCCGGAATGTATGGCGCTGATTTGAAGCAATACTCTATATCGCTACTGATGATAGGACATCCTAATCTTGTCGCTAAAGCAACGCAATCATCTTTACTTTCTGTAATACAGAATGCGTGTTCTAGGCCCATGTCGTGTACTATTTGTACACTAGTGTCTCTTAATAGGATAGGTCGTAAAAATTGATACTTATCTGCATTTGGATCAAAGGCAAAACGACCAAATTTTTTAATCTTCTTGTTGATGTTCGTGTCACCGCCTTTGAACACGAAGTAGCATTTTACGTTGGCCCTTTTGAAGATACTCATTAGGTTGTCGTGCACGTGGGTTTCGTACCGATCCATATCACCACCAAACGTGAAAGGTATCCTAGATAATTGATACTTACAATGGAAATAGTTTTGCCCGTCGATCACGACGCTGCAATTCTTTAAATTAAACTCCTCGGCCGACTCGACAACTGATTTCCAAAAGTGTATAATCCTCATCTTTATATCTGATTCCTGCAACAGACAAAATGACATTTTAGTATCTAATTATTTTAGTTTTTTTTTTGTTAAAAAAATGTCGTTTGAAAGCTCTTTCCATGACTATAATATGTTATTATGGGAGCTAGTCTCAATTCGTTATTATAAAAGTATAGGATCCGACATAAAACGGCCTTCACCGAGGTGCTTATTTGATGAACCATAGTTTATATATACCTACTTATTTTTTAAAGATAAATGTAGGACTTTCTCCTACGTCACGGCTGCGTTTACAAACATACAATTTCTATATAGGTATCATGTATATGTCACGTATGATAACCAGACCCAAAACAGCAATTTGTGGATCACAAAAAGTGTTGTTCCTTTTGGGAATTGAACCGGCTAGACGTTGCGCGGCGGCCGGTTGCCAGGCACCGCACCATCAGTGCAATGCAATCTAATCTTAAGTATGCAGAGAGGTTAGTTACAAACTGTTATCGTCGCTTGCTATTTTAAGCGCATCACAATGGGTTCACATTTCATGTGTCCACTTGTTACATGATAAAAATTATGTTGTATTAAATTAACATAACATCACGCCTTTTATCCCCGAAGGGGTAGGCAGAGGTGCACACAGAAGTAACACCCACTTTTTACTATTTATGTTATTAGTCCCATGTAGTAGGGGGTGAGCCTATTGCCATATACCGGACACAATTCCAGATTTCGTACTAATACTGATATTTTTTTAAAAACCCAGTAATACTTTGTCCGACCCGAGACCCCATGCCCGGCAGTCGCACTTGCGAGCACTCTGCCAACGAGGCAGTCAGTGTATTGAATTACTGTATCACAATCTACCTAATTCTTTCTTTTAAGTACTTCACTTGACTGCATAGTTGGTGCGGTGGCTGGGCAACCGGCTGCCGTATAACGTGTCGCGGGTTCGGTTCCCGCACGGAACAACACTTTGTGTGATCCACAAATTGTTGATCCGGGTCTAGGTGTCAAGTGTATGTGAACTTGTATATTTGTAAACGCACCCACGACACATGAGAAAATCCTAGTGTGGAGTATTATTTCAAAAACAAAAAAAACTTAATTCATCAGTCTACATACATAATTCATAACTCATTTGCCACATGAATCGCTGGCAACACAGCTGCTATGTGTTGCGCGGTCTGTTTGACCGCGTATTTAAAATATCATAGATAATTAAATAGTAATGTAATGGAAATAAACAAGTATGAATGTTAATCTACAGTCTTTAATCAATCTTCTATATCAATTTTCAATAATATCAAACTTTAAGTGGAAATATTAGTCACATAAAAGCAGTGTAATTATAGATAACCATGTATTAGAGTGTGCGTTACAGCGTTACCCAGGCCAGATGCTGTCAAAAATGGTCATTTGAATCTTATAGATAATTAGTTGTGCGGCTTATGCAATTGTTGAAAACATTTACTTCATCTAGACAACTAATTTTATAGCTAATAATTATTTAAATATTCCCATTAAAATGAAAAACTTCTGGCTGGGGTAACGTTACCCCAGCAGGAAAAGTTTTTGCGAAATAATTAAAAAACTATAAGTGCAACAAATTTAACAATGTGCGCAACAATTACAGAAGCCACACAACTAATTGTCTTTTTAATATTTCACTGCTGTGACTATTAAACAAATACTATTCCAATTGAAGGGAACGTAAGGTTGGTGATTCTTTTCCAGTTATACCTCTCGGACCCAGGTATAAACAAGTAAATAAGTGATAGTAGTATTTTGTACCGGTTTGATATTAATTAGTGAGTTAACTTTATTATTTCAGTTACAGTCGATTAATTACTAAATATATACAACTTAAGATACAAAAAGATAAATATTAAATAAAATATAAAAGTGAACTAAAAATAATAATAATTAAATATGTAATAAATATTATTTCAATAAGAACATGGTAAACAAAAAAACTTCCTTTATTTAATAACCAATTGGTCGTGTCCAGGACTGAAAATTAGGCAACACATATGCTATATAATTATTGACATATTAAACTGTCAAATACCAAGCGGTCACCGGTGACCGCAACCTATTGTTCTATAATTGTGTCTGCAAAACCGGTACTCGACGAGTTAAATTGAATATAAAATATGTTTCATCAAATAAGTATCTTGGTGAAGGTCGTTTTATATTGGGATCTTAGACAAAAATGTTCTAGTTACTTAAACAATATCTATTTAGAATAGTTACTTGAATTATTTCTATGATAGGATGCATGATAAATTAAATTTTTAAATTATGCCTCTCCCCAACGAATGCTATTTCAAGAAATGTATAAATAAAATTAAGATTTATTTTAGTCTGCTAGACTTACAAATATCTGGGTCAGAGTGTAGCAAAGGGTGTGCAAGAGATTTGGGACTTTATATACTCCGCCAACTGACCCTAAGAGCTCATTTTCAGGCGAACCTGAAGCCCTAGATAAAAAGTGCACAGATGATTTTCACATTGATTTTAAATATACTAAGCGATGGAAATTAACCATTTATAAGTTATTCTCATTTTTTATGAAAATTTTAACCATAACAACATCACGCCTTTTATCCCCGAAGGGGTAGGCAGAGGTGTACATTAAATTACATCATGAAATTTTTTCTAAGTCCTAAACTCCTTGCACACCCTTTGCAACACTCCAACCATTATCTGTACTGTACTGTACTGTAATAATATTATTAACTATACTGCACTGTAACTGCGTTAATATATACTAGGTATAATTGTAATTTTCACTTAGTCATCTCAGAGAAGTCTAATTGGAAATGCATGCGTGAAAAAAAAATGTGGCGTAATTTTAAAACACTTTTACTTTTACTGACAAAAGTGCATGTTGTTGTCTATATAGTACCTATTTAGAAAAATTAATAGCATTTCATAGCCTGTAAACTGACGTCCGTACTACTTATATAAGTTCTGATTGTTATAAAATGGCTAAATATAATTTTTAGGTACTTACTTGTATTCCTTTGTTTAGTCAACCACCAAAAGTACAACCTTTTCTGATTTTGCACAATTAATGCTAATTATTGTGTTGCATTCACTGTTTAGATTAGAAATTGTATTGGTTCCTGATTATCGCGCACTCGCTTTTATAGCAGGGCTTTTGTACTTATACGCACCAACCGGTGGATGATGGATAGAACCGATTGAACGTAGGTACTTTGTGCAACAGTAAAACTAAAAAATAGGACAATCCAAGTTTTGTCTAGAAACAATACGATATGTATGAATATCCCCATTCATCCATCAATAGACCTATAAGTACCTACATAGTTTTGTGAGTTTTCACAGTGAAAACTAACACTACTGCTACAACAATGGAAAACATATAAAAACGAAAAGAGAAAGATATTTATTGGTAGTTATTATTAACAACTTATATGTATTTCGTTCGAAGATTCTTCTTTCTATTCATATGTAAATATTTAATACTTAAAAATGTAACGTGTCACGTTATTTTACAAAACTTTCAGTCAGTTTGCGTTTGGTACGAATTCAAAAGATATCAGCAACATGCATCAAAATGGCGGGAAGTCCCATTTTATCATGACAGTGATGCCAACTGAAGAATACATTTCTTCCATGAACACAGACAGTGCGCCCAGTATATTTTAATTATAACGCCTGCTTTTATAAGGAATAAGATTACTGTTTCCCGACATATTTATTCTAAAGTATAAAAAAATAATTCAAATCAAGATAATTTATAATTACAGCATTGATTAATTTATAGTGAAATCTAAGATAAAAATGCATTTTGTCGTCTGATAAAAGTGACAAATGATAAATTATAAAAGAAAATATACTGGGCACACTGTTGCATTGTTGTCGATGGTCAGGTGATTTTTAAACAATAGATTGTGTGTGAACAGAGCGATTTATTGTTTATGGAGTGATTAAAAAAAACATGACTAAGTTCATAAATATTATCTACGTAATAATTATCATATAATAACAGCGATATTGTACTTCCGTTAATAGGGATGATGACTGTGTATGAAAATTAAAAATCTGCTCAGTCCGTCAGTTAGCACATAACATAACATAACATAACATCACGCCTTTTTATCCCCGAAGGGGTAGGCAAAGGTGTACATTCATTACGGCATTTAATGCCACTGTACAATGTAACACCCACTTTCCTCTATTTATGTTATGAGTCCTATGTAATAGGGGGTGAGCCTATTGCCATATACCGGGCACAATTCCAGAGTCTGTGCTACTACTGAGATTTTTTTTTAAAACCCAGTGATTCTTTGCCGGACCCGGGTTCGACCCGAGACCCCTGCCCGAGTCGCACTTGCGACCACCCGGTCAACGAGGCAGTCAACAGAGCAATATAGTATAATTAATATAAGATAATATAATAGTAGGTATAGATAAGTAGAAATTAATTTAATCACCGATGCCAATGCACTTGAATAGGTACTGCACCTGTATCATTACTTCATTTTGATAACTTTCGGGGAATCCACAATTTCTCTCGGTATCTAAGTACTAATTATTAGCATGACACATACACATATGACGTCACACCCTTGGCATTGATGTTGACAAACACAATGGTACGCCAAACGTCACGATTTTAACATTCTGTCGTTTTAAATAGATTCAAATGTATATTTTCGTTTTCATCAATATGTTTGTGTTTTATCCATCAATAACATCATGCCTCTTATCCCCGAAGGGGTAGGCAGATGTGCACATTACGACACTTAATCTTATACTCTTATACTATTATATAAAGCGGAAGAGCTTGTTTTTTTGTTTGTTTGTTTGAACGCGCTAATCTGCGTAACTACAAGCCTGATTTGAATAATTATTTTTGTGTTGAATTGCGCATTTATCGAGGAAGGCTATAGGCTATAAAACATCACACTACGACCAATAGGAGCTGAGCAGAGCGTGTACTACCGCGCGGAAGTAGCTAGTGCCACTATAAAATGTAACCCCCACTTTTCACTATTTATTGTCCCATGTAATAGGGGGTGAGGCTATTGCCATAATATACTGGGCACAATTCCAGACTCCGTGCTACTACTGAGAATTGTTTATAAAAAACGTTGAGTTTTATTTTTTCAATATTCACCTTCGACGTTTGGCCACTACCTCGCCTGGTGGTAAGGAATGATGCGGCTCACGGAAGCATACATTTTAATTATTTACATCCATTGTTTTTCCTTTGCCCGCCCTCCTGAGGCTCTTTCCCGATCTCATCTTAAATCTAATCTTTCTGTTGTCTCACACAATGCTGTTTTTTACACCTATTCCTTCACTGTTCATGCAGTGCGACTTTGGAATTCCCTACCACCTAATATCCGTGACTCTAAATCCATCCCAATCTTTAAAAGACTCGTAAGGGAGCACTGCCTTTCCTTATCTTGTTCAAATTAGTGTCATATATATATATATATGTATAATGTGTTTATTTGTAATATTCTCTAATATGTGTATTATTTGATGTGTATCTATCATATGTATGTATAGGTTTATGTATTTTATTGTGATCTATTTATTTAATACATTTTATGTCATGTTACGCACAGTGTCTCTAGCTGTTTTTACCGTTTTTCCTGTCGAAGGACTGCAGGAAGAGATTCCTTCGGGAATATGTAGTACCTATGTACCTCCAATTAATTTATATATGTGTTCTCTTGTGTACTGTCTGTGTGTTGTGCATAAATAGATAAATAAAAAAATAAATAAATCATTTTATTAGTCAGTAGTTAGTTAGTTAGTTGGGGATAAGTCGGAAAAGGTGTAGGCGGAGCATCTGATGGTAAGCAATCGTATACGCATGGATACACGAAACACTCGAAAGTGTTACAAGTGCGTTAGCGACATTTTAGCTGTTAGGAATTTGAGGATTGGAGATTGGATATATTGGGCAGGGGGTAATAGGGATGATGACGGGTACAAAAATCTCAGTAATAGCACGGAGTCTGGAATTGTGGCAATAGGCTCACCCCCTATTACATAGGACTCGTAACATAAATAGTGAAAAGTGGGTGGTACATTGTACAGTGGCATAATGTGTACCTCTGCCTACCTCTTCGGGGATAAAAGGCGTGATGGTATGTTAAGTAAAGAAAAGACATTATGATATTAGACCCGTATTTTTGTACTTGTCGTTTAAGGTTATAACACTTAGGGCCGATTTTTCCAATGCCAGATACATTTTAACTGAGGAATAACTTTGAATATTTGACAATTCTTACATACTAAAAACTGTCAAATGTCAATTAAAAATTTTTTTTTTTTTTATGCCATAAGCCGGTAAACGAGCTGACGGATCGCCTGATGGTAAGCAATCGGCGTCGCCCATGGACATCTAGAACACCAGAGGCGTTACAAGTGCGTCACCGGCTTTTTGGGGATTAGGAGTTTGAGGATCGTTGGGGATTCAGGGATTGGGTTTTTAGGAATTAACTGATAATTGAAAAATCGGGCCTTAGAAAAGTCGAATCAAAGTTTAGGAGTGCGAGCTAAAACGTCATTTCTACGTATAAAACGTAGGTACGTTTTATACGTAGAAATGACGTTTCACTTCTAGGTAGAAGTGACGTCATCCGATATTACAAATCAATATATCGTCGAAAGTATTTGTTTCTGTAAGAAAAAAAAATACGTGTCTAATGTTTTAAAATAATCTGCCAGACGGACATTGAAATAAAAATCAGTCATCTACCCTATTGGGCATCTGGTTACCTCACTCACACGACGAAACACAACACAAGCGTTGTTATTACGTCAGTTTTCTGGTCGCTTTCTCTCCCATACTTATTACTTACTTACCTAATAAATTGTTGACTAAAGATTAATTTTACAGGTATTCAACTGTCCGTGGTACGGTGCAAGGCAGGCTTGAAGAACGTTTAGCGTTTATGGCCGTACGGTTACCTGATAGGATGCGACGGTCCCAGCCGTACGCCCAAATGAACTTGGAACAAAACGCCGCCGTCCTGACCACGCCGCACGACGTGTACGCCACGATCGTCGACGTTCTAAAATTGCCGCAACATAAGAATCCCTACAAAATCCCCGGGGCTGACTTCCCCAGAGGAATGTCTTTGATTGAACCGGTAGGTACCTATTTTTTTTTTACTTAGACACTACATTTTTTTTTAATTAATATTGAAATGTCGTTGTAGCCCGTACGTTTAAGACGCTTCCCTACAGGTGCGGTTTCGAAACCTACCAACGGCAAGTACCTATGTCACTTTTTCCCGAGTTATATGTACTTTCTAAGATTATTTAGACACCATTGACAAACGGTGAAGGAAAACATCGTGAGGAAACCGCCAATAAGTTTGAAATCGCCAACCCGCATTGAGCAAGCGTGGTGACTAATGCTCAAACCTTCTCCGTGTTAAATGAGCCCAATGATGATGACCAGAATTGTATTCTTTTTTATACCGTCATCCCTTTAGTGTCATAGACAGACCTTTGCCTATGTGCTCCTTCACATAATGGCTCATGATGCCAAATATACAATGAACCATTTTTCACCAGGTATGTTGTGACTATGACTCCCATTTAATAAGGGGTTAAACCTATTACCATTACAATTTTCGAGCCGGTTCATTTGTGCTGAAGCCTGGTAATCTCTCGTGTATTCTGTGACGTGACACACAGACAAACAGACTGACATCAAGGCCAGATTACCCCACCCCCGTTCCCAATCCCCGAATCTCCAAAAATCCTCAAATTCCTAATCCCCAAGAGGCCGGCAACGCACTTATAACACGTCTTTTGTTTCGGGTGTCCATGGGCGGCTCCGATTGCTTACCATCGGGTGGTATGGACCACAGCTCGTGTACCGGCTTATCCCATTAAAAAAAGTGTCTCTCTGTTTCAGATCCCCAAGAACAGGTCGTGCAGTGAAGCTGGCATTCAGCCGCATTGGTGTGCCTGTGTCAACTGGAAGAATGTCACCGACTCCTCCATGATACAGAGAACCGCTGAAGCATTCGTCAACTACATCAACCAGCTCACTGAACCGCAAAGGTAAATACAGCACTACGATATTAAATTTGTATGTAAAAAGGATTTTAAACCGACTTCAAAATAAGAAGGAAGTTCTCAGTTGACCTGTATGTATGTATGTATGTGCAGAATTATCTTGCTATAGGCTGAACCGATTTTGATGCGGTTTTTAGATAAGTGTTTTAAGAGGTTCTAGTATATTAAATTAATATTAAAGTATATTATTAATTATAGAATATTATTATTAATTAATTAATAATATTAATTAACCGACTTAATTAATTACTATTACTTTTTATTTTTTAATTACGACGAATTAATTAATATTATTAATTAATTACTTATTTAATTAATAATAGAAATGGTTATTGGGAGCTTAGAGGACATGATGAAAACTGCTCCGAAAATAACCGACTTAAAAAAAGGGAAGGGAGTTGAATTCGGTTTTTTTAAACGTATTTATTTTAATGAGCTTTGTGGCATCGAGCATTTCTTTCTTTATTTAAACAAGAGTATATTTTTTATTTTTTTCTTGCATAGAAGCACTATTTTATATGGATTGTCAGTATACATATGTGAGGACCATGTCAGACTTAAGATATTTGTTTTCTCTTGGTTTTGTTTTTTTTTTCTATTTTAGTATGTTCTGTTATTTGTATATTGCGTCAGGTATGTCTTTACATTATTCTCACATGTGTGTACAATATTGGAATATGTACCAGAGCAATGTAAAACAGACTTTTTTTAAAAGAGTAACGAATGGAGTTTCTTGCTCGTTCTTCTCCACTCGAATCGACATTTTGGAACGAGCGCCTAGCTTCACTGACGGACAGACTGACAGACTATTATATATTTCATATTTGTTGACGTTTCAAAAGTACCAAATTATGGTTTAATTGAAATAAATGCTTTTGAGTTTGAGTTTGAGTTCCACCAAACAAGCCCTTTTATTTGGTATACATAATGAAGGTAGTTGTGAATAAAAATTTACTGTATTTATCTATATATAAATAAAAATGAATTGCCGTTCGTTAGTCTCGCTAAAACTTGAGAACGGCTGTACCGATTTGGGTAATTTTGGTCTTGAAATGTTCGTGGAAGTGCAGGGAAGGTTTAAAAGGTGAGAAAAATATTTTTTAGGCGGTACGAAGTTAGCCGGGTCAGCTAGTATTATCATAAATATTAAGAGTGTGTACCAAATATCAGATCGACCTGTCGTCAGGAAGAAGTTGAACTCCAATTACCAACTTTTGACCCAAACAAACAAACGGGCCAAGCTAATTAAAACCCTTTAATAGAGGTAAATCCTTGTTTCTCTTTCACCAAAAACTACTCGACGGATTTTAATAAAATTTTGTACAGATGTAGACTATTGTCACGAATATTTCACAATATTCCATTCACAGAAATGCGGCAATTACATGGACGCGTGTGAATTACGAACGATACTGATACTGCTTTCCAAACTAAACCATAAGCTTGTATTTTGGAAAACAGTGAATCAGGCGTGGAGTACGTCACAAGGTCCCATTATATGTCGCTCAATAATGAAGTGAATGTCGCTTAACTCTAGGCTATTTTTTTAACTGCGGGTACGCGGGCGAACCCGAATATACTAGCGACCCGCCCCGGGTGCAATATGCATGTATTATACATATATTACATATAAAACTTCCTTAGGAATCATTCTATCTGTAAATAAACCACATCAAAATCCGTTGCGTAGTTTTCTAGCATATAAGATCTAAGCATACATAGGGAGGGACTGGTAGAGGGGCGTATAGCGACTTTGTTTTATACTATGTAGTGATTTATTGACTTTTTATATTCTTTCAGATCACTATGTGTTCCGCGTACTTTGAAAGAAATTAAGTGGGTCATGGTGCAAGCGCTGAACAAAGGTGTTCTCTCGTTTGTGTCCGCAAAAGACATAGATGGCTACTTGGGAAAGTTCGGAAAGGCTATAAGAGTATCGAAACAAACTTATCAAGTCCAGGTTTGTATCTGTCAGTTTATATTTTATGGTACGAGCAGACGGATCATCTGATGATAAGCAATCGGCGCCGCCCTGGGACATCCGAAACACCAGCGGTGTTGCAAATGCGTTACCGGTCTTTTGGGGATTAGGAATTTGAGGATTGATGCGATTGAGGAAATTGGGGAGGGGGGATGGTAATTAGGCCTCCGGTAACCTCACTTACATGACGAAACACAGTTTACACAGTGCAAGCTTTGTTTCACTATGGTTTTCTGCTCGGCAGTGGTATCACTCCGGTCGAGCCGGCCCATTCATGCCGAAGCATGGCTCTCACACACTTAAACGGGAGTAGCGAGAAATTTGTTTGTTGAAAAAAGAGGTTTGTTTCGGCCTTTCTTCTCAGAGTAGTCAGTTAGGAAATGTCTCATCTAATAATTTAAAGATTGACGTGTTGAAGTATTACTTTGTAACCTATTTGCAGAAATAAATACCATTTCATTACATCATTAACCGACTTCAATTTAGTAGGTTCTGTTTGATCTATGTATGTATGTTTGTATGTTTGTGTGATTATCTCGCTATTTGCTGAACCGATTTTGATGCGGTTTTCAGAAAAGTGGTGTGTTACGTTTAGAACAAGGTTTTAGTATATTAATTAACCAACTTAAAAAAATAGAGGGGGTTAAAGTCGGCATTTTAAACGTCGTTTGTGAAAGAATTATTTCATTATATTGTAAAAAGGTAAACTGCTATATTGATACGTATATGTTTAAGTAAAAGCACCTGTTCATCATCAGCCCGTATTCGTCCACTGCTGGACATAGGCTTCTCCAATAGCACGCCACTAAGCTCGGTCTTCAGCTCTTCTCATCCGACCACTGCCAGCCACCTTGTGGATGTCGTCACTCCACGTAGCTGGAGGGCGCCCTACACTGCGTTTGCCTAGACGCGGTCTCCACTCTAGAACACGTTTACCCCAACGGTTATCGGTTCTTCGACAAATGTGACCGGCCCACTGCCACTTCAGCTTACTAATCCTTTGGGCTATGTCGATAACTTTGGTTCTCTGTCGGATCATTTCGTTCCAGAAAGCAACTGTTATAAGTCTTTTAATAAAAAATGACTTCCGCGCGCCTCTAGGAGCCATGAGACCACCACAGATGGGACCCAACAGGGCTCATGCCGATACGGAGTCGCGGAAGACTTAACGCGTTACCGGGGCTCCGTCTCGACGTGCAGGACTAGGAACGGGGTGGTTTTTAGTCAGTAAGAGTCTGACACTTCCTCTCGCCTCACCCAGGTGGGAGAAGTCATTGGATAAATAATAAAGAGTGACGTTGTACGTGAACTACGTGCCATCGTGACGTCATCCTGCTTATGAATGATGGTGGTATCCATTTTCAGGTGGCTGTGGGCCCAGGATATGGAGTTTATGAAGCATCAATGACGTATTTGGTGAATGAAGACAAATTCATTATGGATTCAAGAGACATTTCACGAACTAATGTGTAAGTCTAATCTATATCTATACTTTTTATTTATTTTTAGTTTCGTATATACATATAATATATGTATATACGCCACGCCTTTTGTCCCCGAAGCGGTGGCAGAGTTGCATATTACTGCACTTAATGCCACTGTACAATGCAACACCCACGTTTCACTATTTATGTTAAGAGTCCCATGTGATAGGAGGTGACCCTATTGCCATATACCGGGCACAATTCCAGACTCCGTGCTACTACTGAGAATATTTAAAAACCCAGTAATACTTTGCTCGACCCGGGAATCGAATCGAACCCTTGCCCGGCAGTCGCACTAACGACCACTCGGCCAACGAGGCAGTCAGGCAGTAATTGTTTTATGTCTGATGCTTTTTATTTTCTATTTACAGATATGGGGACGAACCGAAATGTATAAGCGCTACCCATCCACATCTAAACATGTATTGTTATTGTAAAAAGTAAAATAATTTGAATTCAAAGTGATAAGCACAAAATAGCTATTAATCATATACTGCCGTACTCAATGTAATGTTAACTTAAACTATGCCTAAGTAATTTTGTACCGAAAACTATATGGCAGTTTCCTAATAGGGTAGTTTCCTAAATTTTATTTTAAAGTCCGTCTTGTACATTAATTTAAAACTTTATTAGACACGTATTTTTTCTTTTCTCACAAAATTAAATAATTTCGTCGATATATTAATTTGAAATATCGTGTGACGTCACAGCGTGCCACATTTTGTAGCACGTTATGACGTAACGACCTCCCACCCTTAAACTTAGTGCCATATTATCTAAGTATTGCAACTTAATACGAGAAAATAAATAAATACGTGTCTAATATTTTTTCATTATTTATACTTTGCCTTTACTTTAAAGTATTTAATTTTGTAAGAAAATAAAAATACGTGTCTAATGATTTAAAATAATCTACTAGACGGACATTGAAATAAAATTTGGTGTACTACCCTATTAATGATCTCTCAATAATGTATTTAAAAATGTAATAATTTCAATTTAGTGTCTGTAATATCTAGATCTACTTAATACTGCGTCACATATGTGTCTTACGCCCGAATATTGAAATGCTACTCAATTTTAGCTATACGTACTTATATGTCTTGCTATCCCTGTCATTTTACACGATCTCCGGCCACTGTAAGCGCGGGCCTGCGGACGGCGAGCATGGGTGGCTCCCCGTCCGACCAGAAACAGACCCGAGCGTACGGCGCCGAGCGTTCCGCGCGCGCCTCAAAGAGCCATCAGACCACCATGAATGGGACCCAACAGGGCCGATGCCAATTCGAAGTCGCGGAGAACCTAACGGGTAACCGGGGCGCTCGACGTGCAGGAGAAGGAACGGGGTGGTTTTTAGTCAGTAAGAGTCTGACACTCCCTCCCGCCTCACCCGGGCGGGAGCAGTCATTCGATGATTTTCCCCCCTTAATAAAACAACTCTGTCATTTTACAAAGACTTTGTAGTGACAGAACTATTATTGTGAGCGTCATAAACATTGAGTAGCGTTTGAGTATTTGTACACGAACGTCGGAATTTATGACCTTTCTTAATTTAAAATCTTACGATCGATTTGTTTTTTGATAGAATCTCCGTATAACTAAAGTCAAAACTTGATCTGAATTAGTTGTTTAAAAAATGGTGCTTTTCTTTTTTACTTGCCACACACTAGGATTTTCTCCTGTGTCGTGGGTGCGTTTACAAACATACAAGGTAACATACACATGACACACAGACCCGGAACCACAATCTGTGGATCACACAAAGAGTTGCTCCGTGAATCGAACCGGCTACATGTTGCATGACAGCAACTATTATTGCCATAATATTATAAATGCGTTTGTTTGTTTGTGTGTATGTTTGTCCCACAATCACATCAAAACAACTAAACGGATCGGGATGAAATTTAATAGAGGCGTAGATTATGGCCTTAAAAACATAGGCTAATTGTTATCATTTAGGAACTTGGACAAAGTCGCTAGCAAAAGCTAGGTTTATATACAGCTTATGTCTAAATTATACCTTTAATACACAACCATAAGTCGTGGAGAACCTAACGGGTTACCGGGGCTCCGGCTCGACGTGTAGGAGAAGGAACGGGGTGGTTTTTAATCAGTAAGAGTCTGACACTCCCTTCCGCCTCACCCAGGCGGGAGCAGTCATTCGATGATTTTCCCCCCTTAAAAAAAATACGCAACCACATGCTATCGAACTGACCTAACGGTTTTAAAAGAAGATGTAATACGTTTTTTAACGAAATAGTTTATTTTATCACACAAATGGTGCATTTTTTATTAGATACATAATAATATATTAGTCTTAAGTGTATTTGGTAATCTTTCTTGTTGCCAACTGCTTTTTCCTTTTTGTTTTTAACACTTTAACAGCCAAGTATAATACGGTGAACATTAAACCTGGGCGTCAAGTCTGCTATTTTTATAATTGTTGTCATTCCAATTAGCATTTTGCAAAAAAATTCCGAATTTGCTAAATTCATAATAGTCGATCATTGGTCGGTCGATGGTCTCTTTAGTAGTAACTTTTTAGTAGTAAAAATTTTATTTTTCGAAATATCTATCAGTGTTATATGCAATTTGAAGTATCTGTTTCGCACGAGATGACCATTTAAAGTCATTACTTGCAGTCTGTCAGTGGTTGACCATTGGAAAGTCATAATGACGCCATTACATTATTAGATTACCAAACTTGTAAAAATCAACAATTTTGAAAGCTATGATCGATCATTTTGACACTATTGTAATAGCAGACATGATGCCCTGCAGTAGCGTCAGGCACTGAGGACTGACGTGGCATGTTAAGGGTTAATTTAATTAATATAAGTTGTTCTCAATTACAGAAATAATTTATGTATAAACAGTTACATCACAATCTGTAACAGTCCATCGCTAGACTATGGGCCTCCTCTACATAAGAGGGGCTTAATATAATCTACCAACACAAGTTTCTAAACCCCGTTTCCAACAACCTCTACTAAATTTTAAGGAATCCATAACCTAAGATAGCTTTAACGTCATTTTGATTTTCGCCAACCTATAAGTTATAAGGGGGCATCCATAAATTACGTCACGAATTTCATGATTTCTTACCCCTCCCCCCGTCCTTGTCACAGCTAGTCGCATTTGTGAAACCCCCCCACCTAGAAAGACGTAACATTTTGCAGAATTACGTGTGTATAAAAAATTATTAAAGGAAAACAGCGGAAATCAGATTTATTTCAATTTCAATTACTTTACAAAAATATTAATACCGAATCAAATCAAATAAAATAAAAAACATTAGGTAACACAATTATATTTCGTGTTTTATAATAGTTTTTGAAATGTGACATCACAAAGTTTAGGATTCCTCCCCCCTTGTCACACAATGTCATACTTCGTCGACCCATCCCCCCCCACCCCTACCCCTTAACGTGTGACGTAATTTATGGACGGACCCTAAGTGTCATCTACCAGTACAAGTAAGGGATTAGTTTAGGTGCTACGCTAAGTAACTTTTATTTAAGTGTTGGTTTAGGAGAGGCTGATGGAAACGGACATAACGACTTGATTATTTCTTTAATATTCTTAGCAATAAGGCTTTAATTGATAACCCAAAGTATTTTATGCTTTTTAAGTTATTGTTATTTTTATTTGCTTTATCAGTATATCCTTCTATATAACTTAATAATATTATGATGTTTAAATAATAGATTAATCTCGAATATAACCAAAGAAATGTTAAAGTCTCCGTAATAGCGAGGGAGAAATACTTAGTGCCGCGGGAAGTACGTGAGGCCATCGAATCGCGGAATGCTGCTCATGAATATGAGCCTCTCGCTTGACTTGCAACTAGTCGAGTTCCTCGCCAAACAGTTACGTGAGTAAGCCGAAAACATAATAATTAACAAAGAAATCTCATTCAAGATTAATAATGCCTTATATTAGAACTTATAAAGGAATATTATGTGTTAATTGGGTAGTATCCACAGTCGTAATACTAAGTATCTACATATTATAAATTTTGAATACAATTAAATGTCAAAAAATAATCACACTTTCATAATAATACTAATTACACTTAGGAGCCAAGAAACGGAATCACTAGCATTTTTTTTTTATTTGTCGAACCCACTACGACAACTTAAAAAAATCCTTTTACAACAAAATACTCTCATTTTAAAGGTAACTAAATAGCCTTTCATACGACATACGTTAGCAATTTACCGGTGACTGCTCTCCACTAACTCAATAATATAGACCTTATTTCCGATGTTTAGAGACTTTTTTTGTATGAACAAATTTTCGATACGATATATCGACGTATTAAGGTGGATGCCTACATAGACCTCGCCATACATTTTTCAGATGAGGAAATCTCCGTAAATAAACAGTTTCTGCAGAATAAAAGCAACTATAATGAGACGTTATAATGTATTATGTTCGCGTATGGCCCAAATTGTATTAAAAAAAAAATTTTAGAAGAATTAGACCGAATAAAAAACGAAAAATGTTATCCTTACTAAAATACTTGTTACCGAAAATATTTATCAAGAAAAACGGGGCTAGTGGTTACGTTTCTTTGCTCCCAAGTGTATATTTGAATTTAAAGTATTTTTTTAGCAATAATGATTTGATTAGAATCCAATTTTGACATTTTTTTTTCTTAGAACGAAAATGTATTGAATTTGACTAGCTGGGAACTACCTAAACTATTTTAAGTACATAGTATTTTGTCACTATCGCAACACATTCGGAGAATAAAAATTAAATTTAAAATTAAAATTCTAGTCCTAAAAAGAACTAAGTAAGTGGATTGTTATTTCAAT